TGTGTGAATTGGATATTCTGTAAGAGTGTGAGCTTGACTCTTACTGATGGGACTGGGGCATGCTTTTAGGCAAAGGTGGTCTTATAACCTACTCAGCTCAGACCATCCTGGTGGTCTACCTGTTCCCTGAAGAGTTCAGGAGGCCTTAATTGCACTCTCAGGACTTAATTTCCTCTGTCTTTCTTTAAAAGAAACAATTTTTGTTTTTATTTTGGTGTTGTATTAATTGTTGACAAAACGTAATTCCCCTGAGAATTGAAAAGCTAAATTCTCCTGAGGAAGCCACCACATCTCTCATCCCTGAGACTTCCATGGTCCATTTGGGCCGGATGTGTGGATGAGGAATGAGGAAGAACACGTTCTAGTACATTTGCACTGCTCAGACTGTGTAATGCAGAAGGGAGGATCTTTGAGTTGTTAAGAGGATGGAACAAAAACAGGCAGGATAAAGGTGTAGGAAAAGAGACAGGGGGTGTATTAGATTCCCAGGGCTGCTGCTGTGACAGATCACCACACACTGTGTAGCTCAGAACAACAGAAATGTGTTGTCTCTTAGTTTTGGGAGTCCAATTGCTCTCTCTGAAGGCTCTAGGGGAGGATCCTTTCTTGAGACGTCTGAGCTTCTGATGGCTGCTTGCAATCCTTCGCATTCCTTTGCTTGTAGGTGCATCACTCCACTCTCTTTCCTCTTACATTTTACCGTAAGTAACCAAGAGAAAGCAGGCTGCCCCTTCCACACTTTGCTTGGACACTTCCTCAGCTAAATATTCAAGTTCATTGCTTACAAGTTCTACTTTCCACCCAACAGTAGAACATAATTCAACCAACTTCTGGGCCGCTTTATAGCAAGTATCACTTTTCCTCCATGTCCAATAACATGTTCCTCACTTCAGCCTGAGATCTGACCAGAAGGACCTTTAATGTTCATATTGCCACCAATAGTCTCTTCAAGGCAATCTAGGACTTTTCTGTCCTGTGCCTCGAAATTCTTCCAGCCTCTGTCCATTACCCAATTTCAAAACCCCTTCCACATTTTAGGTATTTTTTACAGCAGCATGCCACTTCCTGGTACCAAAACCTAAATTAGTTTCCCAGGGCCATTGTAACAAATGACCACAAACTTGGTGGCTTAAATCAACAGATTTATTGTTGCACAGTTATGGAAGCTGGAAGTCCAAAATCAAGATGTTTTTGGGGCATGCTGTCTCTGAAGCCTCTGGGGAGGATTCTCCTTTGCCTCTTCCTAGCTTCTGGTGGCTGCTGGCAATCCTGGGCATTCTTTGTCTTGTAGATCCATCACTCCAATCTCTGCATCTATTGTCACCTGTTGTTCTCCTCTGTGTATCTGTTCACAAATTTCCTTCATTTCATAATGATACCACTCATTGGATTAGGACCCACCTTAATGATCTCATCTTAACTTGATTACATTGCAAAGATCCTATTCCAAATAAGGGGTCACATTCTCAGGTAACAAGGGTTAGGACTTTACCGTATCTTTGGAGGACACAATGCAACCTATAACAGGAGGTGAAGTAGGCAGTTCGAGGGTGAAATGCCCCGGTATCTTCCTTTCCAGTCCTAGTTGTAGTTAGTAGGTTAAGCCCATGTAAATAGTTTTCCCATGTCACTTGGAAGACTTCTACTGCCCAGGGCTTAGAGTCCACACTCCTGGGCCTGTTATTCAACAATCATTACAATCTGTCTCAACTTTTCTTTCAAGGCCAATCTTCCTCTACTCCTCTCCTTGAGAAGAAATCTAATACAGTGTTTCAGTGGAGCTCTGCTTACCTAAATTTCCAGTCATGGTTCCAGTTAATATGTATTTTACACTCTCGTAAGGAATGAAGGAGCTTGGACTTCCTAGCCTGCAAAATTGTGAGAAATACATTCCTGTTGTTTAAGCCACCCAGTCTATGATATTTGGTTATAGCAGTCTCAGCTGACTAAGACAGGCACCTATGGTGTGAAATCCCACAGTAGGTGAGTTTAAGGAGAATAATCTATGACCTGAGACTAGCATCAAGAGTTCTCTTACTACTACTAGCTAACACTTATTGCTCACTTACTATAATCTGAGAACCATTCTAACCACTTTATATATACTACTTTATTTAATTTCACAGTAAACTTATGGAATAGGTACTGCTTTTTAAAGATTAGGAAAGTGAGTTGCTGAGAGGTTAACTTACCCAAATGTGGTCGGCTGAATAGTGGCCCCCATAAAGATAGTCTTGTCATAATCCTCAGAACCTGTGAGTGTTACCTGCTTGCAAAAGGGTCTTTGCAGATGTCATTAAGTTAATGATTTTTTTGTGTGTGTGAGGAAGATCGGCCCTGAGCTAACATCTGCCAATCTTCCTCTTTTTTTTTTTTGCTGAGGAAGACTGGCCCTGGGCTAACATCCATGCCCATCTTCCTGTACTTTATATGGGACGCTGCCACAGCATGGCTTGACAAGCAGTGCGTCTGTGCACGCCCGGGATCCGAAACGGCGAACCCCGGGCCACCGCAGTGAAGCGCACGCACTCAGCCACTTGCACCATGGGGCCGGCCCCAAGTTAATGATTTTGAGATGGGAAGATTGTCCTGGATTATCTGGGTGGGCCTTCGATATAATCACCCAGGGCTTTATAAGAGGGAGGCAAGAAAATCAGAGGAGGAAGAAAGCAATGAGATGATGGCCCCAGAGATTGGAATAGTGTGACCACAAGCTGAGGAATGCTGGCAGCCTCCAGAATATGGAAGAAACAAGGGATAGATTCTCTCCTGGAGCCCCAGAAAGAACCAGCCCTGCTGATACCTTCATTTTCTCTTCGTAAGACTAATTTCAGGCCCTTCACCTCCAGAACTGTAAGAGAAAAAATCTGTATTGTTTTAGGCCAATGAATTTTTGGTAATTTCTTATGTCAGCAGTAGGAAACTGATACACGAAGATTACATAGTGAATTTGAGGAAGAGCCAGGACAGTGTGAGGGGCCTTTCCTTTCACCTCCTGTTATTTTTCTGCAATGCCTTAATAAGTTGAGCTTTGAATTTATCTAGATCCTAGCACCAGAAAAAGCCCTGAGCTGCACAAGGCAGTCTCCCATAGAATGTAAAGAACTATCTTTTAATTACCGAACAACTTTTTGGAAAATTCATTATATCCGCATTGTCATGTGTGTGTGTGACATAAAGAATAGAGGGAAAATGTAAAAAGGAAGCTGTGGCTATCTCCACATTCATCTCTTTTCTTCTGACTATGTGGAAGGAGCAGCATCCTAGGTGGAGGGGGCAACTTCATGGAGTTGCAGGTGGGGACCAGCAGCAGAGAGACAGGTGGCTCCCAGCAGAGCTGGAAGTGGAAAGGAGCTCTTAACGATGAGGAGCATGGCCAAGTGAACAATACAGGAGACATATGAGCAACCTTGCTCCTATCACAATTCTCCCAGAGGGAGATTACTCCTAAGTTAGGGTTCAGGATGGGACTGATATGTGCCAGATACATCTCTGAGGCCAATGGCCTCAAGGCTGTTACCATTTGAGACCTAATTCCTATTCCCTATAGCATCTATGGATTCTATTCCAACTACTTCCCTCTTCCTTTTCAGGAACTTACCATCGTACCCGAGCATAATACCTGGAGAAGCAATTAGCTGACCAGGAAAACATCCAAGGCAGCTTCTGGCAGGACAAGTTTCATTCAAGGAATATGTAGAGTGAAATGAAACTGGGCAATGGTGGCGCCCTTTTGAGCAGGAGATTTGGTTCTGGTTCTCCTCTAGACTCATGTGTATGTAGCCTTGTCAAGGTTAGCTTCGTGGGTGTGTGACCTGTACAGTTACACAGGGCCCTGTCCTTAGAAGGGCCCCTCACTTGCTTTAATGTTCTCTTGATGTTATCTCAAAATTCTTAATGATTTTTGACCAAAGGGCCTGGCATTTTCATTTTGTGCCAGACCTTGTGAATTACATAGCTGGTCCTTATCTGTGCCTTTATTTGAGGTCAGAAAAATGTTACCTGTGGCTCTTCAAGGTGATCCAAGTCATTAACATCAATAATTGGCCTAATGATATGAACCAATAATATGGTCATTAACACCATAATTTCCATATCTAGCTGCTTCCCTCCGTGGGTGGCTACCTTATTGTTTGCTACTTCCTGCCACATCTTGTCTTCTTAGTACCTACTCTCAAGCTTGAGCATTGACTAATCCAATTTCTCAATGTAGTGAATCAAAAAATATGATCAAAACAATAATATTTTTATGGTGTTGCTACAGACAACTGGTACAGCTTGTCAACCCTGAGAACTTTGACAACCTACCTCTTATCTCAAGAAAATTTCCAGAGCAGGTTGGTACTATCCACTGGGTAAATCTAGGAATATCTATCTCTGCCTGGGCCTGGGGTAGAAGGTAGGAAGGTTGGGAGGGAAAGTTGAGTCTGCTCCCCGGGTGCATCTGTACTTGTCAGGTCACGCTTCTTTTCAAGCTTGCAGGAACCATTTGAAGAAAACAAGAGAAGCTGTGTGGTCATTGGAAGAGTTTTTCCAGGCCTCATCTTTCTTTTTTTGTCTTGGTTCCCAATGGTTTAGACCCTTTTGGCTTAGTACTTGAGTGCTGTTAACTTTTGAATGATAACATGAGACTTTCCTGAAAGATTATAATAAAAACCCATACTATACAATCTCTGGGAAGTATCCCCAGACTCTGAACTTGGAAACACCAAACCATGTATCCGACTTCTTTCTTCCCCAGATCACCCTGCAGTCTCCCACTCTACCCAGGGAAGATGATCAGACATTATGCCTGGCTTTCTGGGCAAGATTTGGGTAATATAATAAGGGCCTTTTGACTCTACCACTATAACCCAAAACAAGAAATATAGCTTTGGAAATTTTGGTGCGATGGCAGGCATATGGAAAAAAGCTCTCAACTTGGCAACACTGAAGCACCCACCCAATTGTGAGGCAATATTTCTGTCTCTTTAAAGACAAACAGTTCCTTCATTGGCTCCACCCAATCTGAGTTTCCTGACTCAGAGGTTTCGGAGGGTGCAAACACTTTTTCCCCACAGTTAAAGCAAAAGCACCATTTCAAAGAGCTTCTTTGGAGAAAACTTGAGAACTCATCAACTCCTTCAAAAGAAGGTGAGCCTGGCTGGGAAGAGGGCCCAGAGCGACAAGCTGTGAGGGACAGTAGGATACAGGGAGTCTGCATGGGAGTGGATTCTGGTCTGAGAAGGGATCAGGTACCGCGCCAGCAGCACAGCAAGGAGGATGCTGCCAGAGTGGTGGTGGTGGAGGGTAGGGAGGGGAGTAAGGAGATGTGTTAGCACAATGTCCATCCATCTCTTATTGAACAGGACAAACTCTCGCTGAATAGTACCCCTTCCACCCAGTTGCTCTTGTGATGGACATTTAGTGCTGCCTGATAACCCATCCTTTTCCCTGAAGAGGAAGTTAGTGTTCCCAAGGCAGGTCTTTAGAGCTGGAAGGCAATTGACAGACCACCCAGTCTAAATCTCTCTTTTTACTGAAAAAGAATCAGAATGCCAGAGAGTGTGGTGATTCTCCAGGAGTTACACAGGTCACTAGTGGCAGAGGAAATCTGGAATTCAGTTTGCTGAGTCCTTTCCAGCGTTTAACAGAGAGAAGCTGTGTCCCCAATAGTGTAAGATACGAGGTGAGGAGGGGGAGAGGATTAGCTATTCTAAAGAAAGAACATATGTGAAACCTTCCTCATTGCCCCCCGTAATTACAGGCTTGCTGCCAGTTCATGATTCTGGAAGGAGTGTGGACCGTCTTCCCTGCCCTGCCCTGATCTATCTCTGACCTGATGTAAACTGAAATTTAGAACCATGGGCCTGAGAGGAACCAAGAAGAGGCCATGGTGTGCAGTGGTTAAGAGGGAGAGTGGTGGAGTCAGACAGACCTTGAACTGGATCCCTCTCTGCCCAATGCCTGTTAACTGCGGGACCTTGGGCAAGTTTCTCAGCATTTTTGAGCCACACCAGTTCCCTCAGTTAAAAAAATAGAATAATATAATTAGCTTCCTTGCAGGATATTTTTGGGGAGTAAAGGAAATAGTGTATGAAACATATTTATCAGAGTGCTTGGTATATGATACACATTGTTACACTACACACAGATTAAATTTTTTATTAAGGAAATTTTTTAACTTATTCAAAGATAAAGAGAATAATATAAGGAACTTTCATGACCCTATACAAAGCTTCAACAATTATCAATTGATGCCAATCTTGTTTCATATTTATACTTAGCACTCTCTATCCACTCCAGATTATTTTGAAGTAAGTGTCAGACATTGTTTCACTTTATCAGTAGATGTTTAAATCTGTATGTCTGAAAGATAAAGACCATTTAAAAAATATTACCATAATCAGATTTCAAAAAGCAACTAGAGTTTTAGAAAAATATTAACGGCTGTGTTCAGGCTTCTCTGATTGTTCATAATTTTTAAAATTGTTTGAAGTCAGATGCAAATAAGGTCCATAACTAGCAATTGTTCCATATTTCTTAAGTTTAGCTTAATGTGTAAGTTTTCACCTTCCTCATCTCTTTCTGCAAAATATCTTTGTTTAAGAAAGGGGAAGTTTTTTGTCCAACAGAATTGGACAGGGTCCATTTTGTTGATTACATCCTTAGAATGTCATTTAACATGCTCTTCTAGTTCTAGTGTTTTGTGTGAATTTATAGTTAGGGAGAGGCTTAATCAGATTAAGGTCTGACTGTTTTTTTGGTGGGACTGCTTCAGAGCTGCAGTTGGAAACTTCCATCAGAAGATACATAATGTCTGGTTGTCTTTCTGTGATATTAGCAGACATCAATGATTGCCTAGAGAAAATTTTCTTCATCAAGGGTCACAAATTATGTTATTCTATCATTCTTTCTTCACTTATTAGATGGAATAATCCTACGAAAAGAAATTTCCCCTCAGCAAGTCTTTCTTTTGCATGAGGTACAGTTATATAAGAAAGACAAGATAAATGTTTTTTTCTCTTTTTTTCTCAATGTTCATAATGATTAGACAGTTTCCTAGCATACTCCAAAGGAGCAATTGACTTCTTTTAAGGAGGTGGTACTCTTATGAACTCATGGATTTCAACACATCTGATATATTTCAATCCATTGGAATTATTATTCTTATTGATGCTCAAATTGCCCCATCTTTGTCTAGTTGGAGCCTCTTCAAGTTGGCTCTTGAGTCGCTTTGATAAGATCCCAGTAATTTTTGATAGCCTCCTGGCTTTCTAGTATGGTCTAGGGTCAACTCATACATTTCCTGGCCCAGACCTGGAATCAGTACTTCCTCCCAGGAGCCCTAATTTTTTTTTGGTGGGAAATGGCATTTGAAGACCACTATGTGGGCACTAAGTGTACTTATTGCTACTGGGCTCATCATTATTTTTATGCCTTTTCAGTAGACCTCAAAACTACACGCACACACACATAACTAAGAATAGGATTCATGAAAACAATTTAAGATTCTTTTGCTCTTTTTTTTGGCCTGAAGGTATTTCCCATTAGTGTGGACAATGAGATTATTGCATTTTCAAATCTCTTGTGCCAATTCTTTCTGTGGTTCATCTGCCACACAAATATGATTAGGCTCATTTGCTTTTGATTTTTACTAGTATTTTTTAATATAATTTTTGTTGTATAATTATGTAAACTATTTACATGAATTCAAGATCAAATCTATGAAATCTATGTATATCCCAAAAGTCTAGTTTCCAGCCTCTTTCCCTGTTCCTCCCATCCCCATGTAAGTAAGTTTTTTTTTGTTTCATTTTCAGATTAGCCAGCCCCGGGAGTCTAGTGGTTAAGATTTGGCAGGTTCATTTCCCGGTCAGGCAACCATACCACTGTCTGTCTGGTGATGGCATGTCACTGTGATACTGAAAGATATGCCACTAATATTTCAAATACCAGCAGGGTCACCGTTAGTGGACAAGTTTCAGTGGAGCTTCCAGGCTAAGACAGACTTAGGAAGAAGGACGTGGCTACCCACTTCCGAAAATATTGGCCACAAAAACTCTGTGAATAGCAGCAGGGCATTGTCTGATACAGTGCCAGAAGTCGAGTATGATGCAAAAAGATGAGGCACGGTTCCGCTCTGCTGTGCCCAGGGTCGCCAGGAGTTGGAATTGACTCCACGGCACTAACAACAAAGTTTTCAGATTATCCTGACATTGTTTTTTCATATATATGAAAAAATATATATAAATATTATATTTTATATGTGTAGTTCATTTTTCTCCTTATCATAGAAATGGTAGTGTACTATATTATTTTCTTCACTTTGCTTTCTTCACTTAATGATACATCCTGGAGATCTCTCCATACTGGTTTATAAAGATATTTCTCCTTCATTTTTACAGTTGGATAGTACTTTACTGTGTGAATAACTTATTTTATTCAACCAGTCCCCTAATGATGGGTATTTGATATGGTTTTGGTCTTTTGCTATTACAAATAGTGATGCAATACCTTATGCATAGTTTTTTCTATATTTTTGTCAGTGTAGCTTTGGAATAAATCCTAAAATTGGGATTGCTAATCAAAGGGTAAATGCCTATGTACTTTTGCAAGATATTGCTAACTTCCCTCTGTAGGTTGGGCTGGTTTTCCATTCCCACTAGCCCTGTAGGAAAGGACCTGCTTCCCCCTTACCTTTACCAACAGATCAGGCCAGCAAACTTTTGGAGTTTTGCCAAACCTGTAGGTGACACGTAGTATCTAAGTGTTTAGTTATTTTATTTTTTCTATATTTTGATTTATTTTTCTCTATTATGAGTGAATGCAAATATCTTTTTATCTATTCAAGGGACATTTGCAATTCTTTTTTTCTTTGAACTATTTATTTACATCTCTTGCTCCATTTTCTTCAAGTTGTTGGTCTTTTGTTTCTCTCCTTTTAGATTTTCTTTGTCTAGTAGGAAAATTAACCCTCTTTGATATAAGTTGAAAATTTTTTTCCCGTAGTTTGACATTTGTGTTTTAATTTGTCTGGTGCTTTTTTGCCTCACATTGTCTTTTAGATTTTTATGTAATCAAATTTATGAGCCATTTTCCTTACTCTCTTTCAAATCTTAGAAATATTTCCCCTACCCTCAGGTTACAAAGAATTAATAATGTTTATTATTTATAGACATTAATTTTTTACATTTAAATTTCTAATCTCTTTGGAATTTGAATGGCATGAAGCAACGGATGCAGTTTTATCTTCTCTGTATGGTTATATAGTTGTCCCAATCTTGCTTATTAGTCCATCTTTTTTCTCATTGATGTGAGATGTTGCTTTATTGAATATAAATGTAAATAATATAATTGAATTGAATATAAATGAATATAGTGTGATCTATTTGGTCTATATCTGAATTTTCTGTTTTTGTTTCCCTGTTCTGCCTCTCTTTTCATGCACCAACATCCTACTGCTTTAATTATAGAAACTGTAATGTTTTACTCTCTGGTAGAGCTAGTCTTCCTTCCTTGTTTGTCTTTTTCTTGATTGTCCAAGCTAAATTTTTTTTTAGTTTTCTAACTTTATAATCAACTTTTCAGCTGCAGGAGAAAAAAGATGATGACAAAATTTTAAACATTTATATTTATATAAAATCATATTAAAGAAATATCTATTAATTCCAATTTTATGAAATTCTTTAAACATGAATCAGTGTTTCATTTGGTCAAATGTCTTTTTTGCATCTAGGAAATTTTCTTATTAATCTATTAATGGGAAGTGTTGTAACAATCAATTTTCTTATATTGAACCACCATACTATTTCTGAAATAAATCACACAATCATGATGTATTACTTTTTAGTATCTAATAATATATTTAGGATTTTTCATCAATATTCACAGATGAAACGTATCTGTAGCTGTATTCACATATTTATTGGTGAAATCTTTGTTTCCTTTGGGATCAATATTATACTTACTTCATAAAAAGAATTGAAAAATTTCCTTCTTTTTTATATGATCAGGAATATTTTATGTAGCATTAAGATTATCAGATCTTTAAAGATTTAAATGAGTTCCCCTGTGAAACCATCTGGACCTGGTACTCTTTTGTGGGGAAACTGTTTAACTACTTTCTCTATCATTTCTTCCATAGTAATTGAACTGTCTCATCTTTCTGTCTCTACTGGGACCAATATCGATAACAGACTATTACCAATTTTCAGGGAGGGAAAGAAGAAAAGAGAGTTGAGAATGGTTCCTTGCACCCAAATTGACACTTTTTTCTTTTCTTCTCAGCCTTCCCAACTTTAAGGTGTTGTGGTCACCTAGGCCCCAGACCCTCTTGATATGAACATGGCTGACTCTCAGGACAATGCTCTGAGGATTGTTCTGGTAGGGAAAACTGGAAGTGGGAAAAGTGCAACAGCAAACACCATCCTCAGGAAAAAAGTATTTGCTTCTAAAATTTCTGCCCATGCTGTTACCCCGACCTGTCAAAAAGCATCTGGGGAATGGAAGGGGAGGAACCTTCTTGTTGTTGACACCCCGGGGCTCTTTGACACCAGGAAGAGCCTGGAGACCACCTGTGGGGAAATCAGCAAGTGTGTCCTCTACTCCTGCCCTGGGCCTCACGCCATCGTCATGGTTCTGCAGCTGGGCCGCTACACAGAGGAAGAGCAGAAAACCGTTGCGTTGATCAAAAATCTCTTTGGGAAGGCAGCCATGAAGCACATGATCATCTTGTTCACTCGAAAAGATGATTTGGAGGGTCAGAGCCTAAGTGACTTTATAGCAGAGGCAGATGTGAAGCTAAGAAACGTCATCCAGGAGTGTGGGAACCGCTACTGCGCCTTCAACAACAGAGCAGACGAAGCTGAGAAGGAAGCTCAAGTGCAGGAGCTGGTGGAGCTGGTGGAGAAAATGGTGCAGAACAACAGAGGGGCTTACTTTTCAGATCCCATCTACAAGGACACAGAGAAAAGGCTGCAAAGACGGACAGAGGAGTTGAAGAAAATCTACTTTGATCAATTAAATAACAAAATTAAACAAGCAGAAAATGAGTATGCTGGTAAACCACAGCAAGAAAAAGAGGAAAAAGTTAAATTTCATAAGAGGAAATATGATGAACAAATGAGCAATATAAGGCAAGAGGCTGAGAGTAATATATTCCAAGACATTTTAAATGAGATTATGAAGATACTTTCAAAAATATGGCATATGTTTTGGTGGTAATGTAAATTTCTTTTTTTTCTTAATTTACTGTGATTGTTAATGCAGTGGATTATATTTTCCAAAGATGGCCACAACAATATTTTCTATCCTACTTATTCTTCTTACAATCTGACCTTGTTACTCCTTCCATTGAGTTATGGGATCTGTGTCCCCTACCCTGAAATTGGATGGACTTTGTGACTGCTTTGATAACTTTGATGCGTAGGTGAAGCAACACCATGTGACTTCTAAAGATCGATAGGAAAATTGCCTCCTTGCTTTCTTGGGGTGCTTGCCATTGGGACTTGGCCGCCATATTGTGAGGTAGCCCAAGTTGTCCATTAAGAGGCCTACATGCAGAGGATTTGAAGTCACTGGCTCACTCCCCCAGCTGATATTTCATCTGTCAGCCATGCAAGTGAGGCAACACAGAAGTGGATTCTCCAGCTGCTGACAGAGCCACCTCTGATGAAGCTGCAAAGAGCAAAGATGATCCATCCCCATTGAGTCCTGCCCAAATTGCAGATTCATGAGAAAAATAAATGACTTTTGTTGTTTTAAACCACTAAGTTGTGGGATGGTTTGTTATGTGGCAGTAGCTATTCGAATTAAACATCTTCCCAGTTCATTCCCTACCACTCCCTGGCCCCACCTGTTCCTCCTCACAATGCCAACAAATTTAAATCAGTTACAAAATTGGCATAATCAGGCAATAAATTATCACATAGAGCTCAAAGACTCACTTTAGGGAAATTCAAATAAGAAATCCTGCGTCCATTATGTGTTGGCACCACTGGTTATGTGTGTTATTTCAGTCCACGTCTGTGAGTACTTTGTTACTGAAGCATCAAGTTTCTCTGGCAAGATTGTTCTGTGGTTCATAGAGATCTGGAAGTTGACAAATTCTCTTATTGTTTTTCTCTCTTTTCTTTTTCAGGTACCATCCTAACTTAAAATGTCCCTGACTATAACTTAAAAATCTCATCTGTGCAAAATACTTTCCATGTGCCTCTGCAGACCCGCACTTCACCCTTCTTTGCCCTAGCTCTTTGCCCAGGAGGCTGATCTCTATGGACCACATCAGTGGGATCACTTGCTCTTTGACTTCTGCTTGGCTTCTGCCGATGGGAAGACCATGCAGAGGAGCTCTTGGGGGTAGATAATCAAGATCAGGGTGTTTGTTCTCCTGCCTCCCTCCCTGCAGGGTCGGCTCTGACTAGCTGCAACCCTAAGCCCAAGGTCTGAGCTCCTCCCCTGGTGGCCTCTCCACCCCACTCTCCTTTTGGGCTCCAGTTTTCATCACCCCCTTAGGCTTAGGATGTGATCTCCTCACTGTTATTAGCACGCCTCCTTGATCCCGAACCACGTGTCCACAGCTTGTAGGAAGCCCACTCACTAGACGTTCCTCAAGTCCCAAATTAGAGTGGGCCAGCTCTCCTGCTAGAATCCGGATTGATCGATTTTATGATACCCACTTCTTTTTCTCTTTCAGAGCATTCCCTGATCTTTATTATTTTTAAATTCCCTCTAGTGTTTTCTGCCACCAGAAAAATCTCTCCTGACTGCTGAAATCTCTGGGACAAGTTTACCCTCAGAAACTGTGACATTGGCAGTGAGCAGATGAAAGGTTCTGTCTTGCTAGAATAATCGAGAAACTTCACAGTTAAAGGGATGACTTTATGTCATTTCTAATGATTGCAGATAACCCAAACTCAAATTGTTGGAATTTTTACAGTCATCCTTTATTTGGTCTGTGAACATGACTGAGAGTATTGACTGCATCAGTGGATTTTAAGGAGACAAGGAATAAAGGTTAAGTCTGGAGAAATAAGATCCTGAATACCTGCTCATTCTAAGGTTCATTACAAAAGTTATGAATGGAGTAAAGACAACATGGAAGAAATAACTCCTGTGAGAAACATGTGCTTAACATATGTGAAATAACACGGCTCACCAAACTGCTGTTTGCCATAACGCAGTTCTCCTGTTTAAAGGTAGTGACTCATCAGTGCAGTATTATCTCCAGAGAGCAAAGTATGCATGACTGTCCTGACTTCTTTCATTTAAGAAACATTTAAAAGACATTTTCCCTCAGAGACTCACAGAAGCATTGTTAATTCAATTAACTTATTTGTCTAGGGCTGTATTAGGGCTTGTTGAAGATGCAAATTAAATGAGCTGATTTCTTTTCTCCTGATCTCATAGTCTACTTTGGAAGGTAAGGCATACCCAGAGGAAAAATAAGTAAATCAAGTAAATCATATCAACATTGTCTCTTCACTTGACAAATGAGATATTGCCCGCTCATTTATCTTAACAAGCCTTACATCCCAATTTTCTCTGAAAGTGTCTCTAATTGAGTTCCAAGGTCTCTGGAAGTGCCCTCATTTAGTGTGTGCATTATCCCTGTTGTTGAAATATGTGATCAACATGACCCATAATGGGGAATTAAACTAGGATTTCTAGGAGAAGACTTGCAGAAGAATTCAGGGCTTGCAGTCTACCGTGAAGGATGTGTAGAATGTGTCTACGTGGGTGATTGAACGATGGTCATGCTTCTTTTCAGAAACAGGAAAGTTAGGGGCTGCAGGTAAGATAGTCAGGGGAAGCATAGAGTCAGGAGCAACAGCATTCAATGAGGTTTCTGAAAAGTTGAGTATCAGATGTCAAAGGAGGTCCAATGTAAGTGTCCTGCATTAACTTGAAATGTTGGATTGAAGATGATGTGACAGGCCTGGGGTGAACGTGGCAAGATATTAACATAAATATCTCCCTCAAGTTCAGCTGAGTCCTCAGCAATTGCCAATATCTCCACATTCCAAAGATGTATACTACAAGATCTATGTAGTACTTGGCAAAGGAAGGAACTAGAAACCAGTTATGTAAGGTTTACTTCTTGAACTAATTTGATAGGTATTTGAAGAGGTCAAGAGGAAAGGACTTTGCAAAGGGAACATTTAGATTATAGGGACAATGACCCTTTGATGGACAAATATTGGGGCTCATCTGTAGAGTAACCACCTTCCCAGTAAGAAGGTGATCTATATGTAACAATGTGTTTAAATAAGGGAGGCTCCACAGGGACTCCACCTTGTGTCTCCTAGCCAATGGGATGATGGTTCCTTCTCACCTCAAACCAAGTAAGGAGTCCTCTTGGACTTTGAAGCTGCCAGAAGACGTGGGTGGTGTATAGTAAGAGATTCCTGGGAGGAAGTGACCTTTGTCCTCTGGGGCTTGGCTTTGCAGTCTCGTGCTGCCATGGGAATCATAATATGAAAGGATGTTGCTATGTGCTGGAGGGAGCAGGGTAAAGATGAGGAGGCTGTACTGGAAGCAACCATAACTTTCACTGACTGAGGCACAAAAGTATGTGTTTCCCGTAAGTCAAATGTGGGCCACACAGAAGGGAACAAGCCAGAGCCAGCTTGAAGAGAACTTGCTCAGGAGTCCACCAGGGATCCCATCAGTGGTATATGGACCAGACCTCTGGAAGTCCAGGTGCCAGCAATTGGACTTGAAGTAGCCAGCTGGAGGAGAGATAGTGCTCATTGGTTGGACTTGTAATTGCAGATTTCCAGGGGAGACTCTATGAAGAGTCGTCAATGGTGCCCTAGGAAAAGGAGAGCCACTATGTGTGCCTCCAAACCCCCTAAGGCCAGATTACACCTGAATTGTCTTCAACGTATCTTCCTCTTCTCCTCCAACCCACAAGGGGTCAGAACCAAGGTGAATGACTGGAGGAGGAGGAGAACGGCAGTGTGGGGAAGCCCTGTCCACACTGGAGGTCCTTCTGCTGCAGCAGGCACAAGCCGTGGGAAGGAGAAGATTTACCCTTCAATGAAACTCAGAGTTTGATTCTTGGGTTGGATATTTTAATGACAAATGTGACCAAAATTAATTGGAGAGTTTTTTGCTTAGGGCAGAACCTGTCCAAGATTTTCCTCATGAGGCCAGTAAGAGAAAAGAATAAATGTTTTCTTTTCATGCCCCTGTGGAGTCCCTTTTGTTTAATCACATAGTTATATATAAACCCCGCTGTGGAGGAGATGACTCTAGAGAAGAACCCCAGGATCCTGCCAATCCTGATTCCTGTAACTGAGGTGTTGTGTGATTCAGTGAGTGGCAGGAGCAGGAGTCCAGGGCAAGGCATTTTGCTCATGGGGATTACTGAGAGAATTTTGAAGTTACTACATTCCTACTAGGGAGGGGTGTTTATGTATAAATCCCAGAGTCCAGAGATTCAAAGAGGTGGAGTCGTGTCTGTACTATCTGAAGTGGGAGAATTGTCCCTATGAGCCCTGGGCCGTGTTTACTCAAGGTCAATCAGAGCCCAGCATCGACCAGCCAAAAATCTGTGTGCAGGGGTCTCCACGTCCTTGTGCCGAGGAGAGGATAGGCAGTGAAGAGCACTGTGGTTCATGGGCAAGATCTTTACATCCATGTGGGAGACTTTCACGGCAAGCTTACGGTACATCTGTGGCAAAACTTCTGACCATTCTTAGAGATCACAACTGAACTTTTTGAGAATGGATTTCATTTTTGACAGTGTCAATCTGGTGAACAGGGTGAATGACCAAACTTGAAAGTGTGCTTATGGTTGAAAACAAAAAGAAGCTATAAACTAGAGACTTGTCTTCCATTGTGGCTTTTAACTCTGAAGACGATGCTACCAGAGGTGTTCCAGAAGTACTGTGAGTAACAAGCTCCCGAGGTCAAAGGAGGCATGTATGAGACGCAGCAATCATTTGCCAAAGAACTGTGTCCATGGTCCATGGATAACAACCCAAAGTTCATTGAATAGTCATTTGTTGAATATGGATGTAAAAAATGCATAATTTCTGGATGTTATAGCCCAGATAGGAGCCCCTACTAAATTCATAGAGCAAGCCTTGACTGGTAGCCAACAACACCTGTCCTTACTGAATGCTGAAGTATCTCTAATGAGAAAAACTGTCCTCCGGAATAGAAGGTCCTGAAACATTACTAGTGCCTCGCAAGGAGGCACCTGCGCCCTTATCCAAAGCGAATGTGTGTATTCATACCTGATGAGTCTGCTAGTGTGTCATCTTTATTAAATCACATGAGGACACAGATGCATGACCTGATCCAACCCCCTGCCTAGGGGACTTAGTAAATCAATGGTTCAGATCATGGGGCTCTTGGTGGAAAAAGTGTCACT